ATCCATATGGCATACAAACCTGGCGAGTTGGAAGCAGTGCTGTAGGTCTGTACACCGTATGAACCTGGCAACATTAAACAATTCATTGCTAGCTATGGTAGTTACCAAAGTCTGTGTCCTAAATATTACAATCTCTTAAAGCAGAACAATGCTGAAGAGTAAGGGATTTAAAGAGGTTCATCTAGAAAGAGACATCTCAGTATTCCAAAAAAAAGAGCAGAGGTGAGAATCATACAGCTTCACGACCCCAGATCTCATTGCACTTCATCTACTACACTCTGCACAAATCCTCTAATGCAGGCCACAGACGGGTCGAACATCGGCCGATTTTTCGACCGATAAACGAAAAATCGGTCGTTCGTTAAGCCGATGTTACCACCAGCGATTAAAAAAATTGGCCGACTAAATCATAAAGTTCACCCCATATAACAGCCAAACCTCTGTCCCTTGCAGGTCACGGCTCATGCGCAGATTTTTTATAGTTAAAACGATCGGCCGATTTGGCCATCATTGCCATGAAAATCGGCCGTTTTTCCAAACATGACCAATAATCTTAAAGTGCAAAAAACCCGGAAAACGGCCGACCAATTAACCCACTAACAGTGCAAAAATTGGCCTATTTTTCTTTCGGCCGAAAAATATGCCGAATTTCGAACCGTCTATGGCCGGCATTAGTCACTACAGCTCCCACCAGCAACCTATTAAGGCCTGTGCTGACTCAAAATCTGCTAAAATTAAGACAAAACTTCATGCAAAAGAAATCAGAGATGGAAGCTATATGCAAAAAATCTGCATAGAATAAAGCAGAGATAGAGGCAGAAGCTGCACACAAGAAAGAGGAAACAAAAGCTCTGGAGAAACAACGTGAGCATGCCACATGCTGTGAGGAAGTTAAACGATTAAAAACAAACTGCTAGTAAAAATAAAAGTGTTAACAGCAGCAGCAAACACTCCTGCATCTTGTGAATCATGTTCCCCACATGCATTTAACACCTGCAAAGACAATCTGCCTGCTTATGCCCCAGAATACCAGGTCTCAGCACCTTCAGCAAGCTGTAAACATTGGTAGGCAGATAACAGGTAATCAGTCTTACTCTGGGACTAGCCATTTTTCATCTCTTAATCACAGCACTCCACTGCCACAATCCAACATGCCAATAAACTTTAGGCCAGTGTCAGGGTTGAATGATTGTGTACCATTATATCTCCAAAAGTCTCCTAAATTCAGTGCACCCCTCCCCCCATCATAGCTAACCCTGCTCTACCTGCAACAGTATATCAATGGCCTGAAAACACATACATGTCACAGTTTTCTAAATACATGGTCTGCTCACTAAGCCTTACTAAGTTTCATGACAAATTTGAACATTGTAAAGGCTTGAAATTCACCTTCAAGATCACAATCTGGATGTTACAGCTGCACAAAAACTAGATCTGCTTATCAAGTGGCAAGATTTTCAAATCACTCAATGTATCAGGAGACTCAAGCCAATTCACATTCACAACCCTGGCACAGGCCTTAATGCTGCCTGGGACAGATAGGAACATAGCTGTTGCAGCCCAGAAGCCATTAGGGATACTTTATTAAAAATATTGCAAAGCTTCCCCAAATATCTGAGAAAGACCATTTAAAGTTTCAGGACCACAGCAACCTTCTCTTGAAGCTCCAATATTCCAAGACTGATGGCCACCTACCTGACCTTAGTGAACTGTACATTGCCCATGTAGTTAATCAAATAGTCTGCAAGCTTCTCTATGACATTTAGGAAAAACTGGCTGCTCTTGGGTCAAAGTTCAGAATTGATAAAAAAGAATTGCAGACACTACTGTAAGAATGACCCAAGTTTTTCCTAAGGTGAATCCAACCCTCTCAGTGCACCTTCTCCAAGGCCCATGTGCTCATGAATGAAATACAGGTGCCACAGAGGTCCAATGTCAGTAAAAAGTACCGATGTTTTACCTACACCACTACAGTCCCTGTAAAAACTGATCAAAGCAAGAAAATTGTGAAACCAAATCACCAATGTCCCATAAATAAACCACGCCCTCTTGGAAAATATATTAGTTTTAGGAAAAAACCCGGCAAGAGTGAAACAAAATTAAAATCTGGGATTTTCTTCAAAGTGCCCCCACAGAGCACCTTGCTAAAAACTGTAATGCTACTGTTAAGTCTGTTAAAAGCAACAGTGATGTAGAAGTAATTTATTTACTTCAATACAGTTCCACTCTATCCATAGTTCAGTCTTCTGTTGTAACACAGATCAAACAGTGCATTCTACACCAGTATCAGGCAGATTATAGTGAAATCTGCATAGAACGATTCTGTGAGAAATCCTAACAAGTATACAATCAGAGTAATGACCTGTGGCAAGATTAAAGTTTTTTTGACCTGTTAAATCTAACAAGAGATGCCTTACATTTCACCCTAAGCACATGTGCTGGCACTATGGAAGTATCAGGAAAGTCTGAGGTCTTGTTGAAACTCTTCTGATTGGCAGTGTGGAAATACCACTGCCCATTCTTATCGAGTGCAACTAGATACCAACCAACAGAGAAGAGATCCCTACTCCTGCAGCATATCGCCATGCATGCCAGAGTGAGAGCAATAATTCTAGCAATGGAGCTCCTGCATGTTAAACTGATATCCTGTAGGATTTAAAATGTCACCATTTCACAGGTGCATGCAATTTTAAGGTTTGATATGTTGGGTATCTATTTACTCGGTGCTACCCCATCTTTTATATTTTACCAAAACATTGAATAATTTATTACATTTGTATGCCATAAAATTAACGTTTCTGGATATTTGTTTACATTTGCAGTAAGTTTGTGTAACATAACACAATTGGAACTGCCACAATTTTATTTTCTATGATGACTGCTTTCAAAAAATATTAGAGTTAGGGTTTTGTGGGTTTATGCAATCTTCAGGCCTAAAATTATTTTTTAAAAATGTGTGCAAAAAAAAATTCAAAAAAGCCCTGGCAGCAAAAGGGTTAAGGCACAATTTATATTGATGGGATGGCAGAGTACCTCAACATTTGAAAAAAGCCCGCCTACAGAATTTTGTCCAATGCAGTGTACTCAATTGCATGGTATATATGTAGTAATATGCTGCAGTGTTGGTGTGCTGGAAAATCCTGTATGTGTTAGTTTTGGTTCTATTCTAAACTAATGCCACCAAAACATAATGAACATAGTATTAGGTGGTAAAATGAATGGTAGGCCATGGTTAAATACTCATATTACTGCACATTACCGCCACAAGCGTAAAGCCAGCCTGAAACAATATCTAATATTTTTATGGAACAGAAATTTGATATATTAATGATCTGATATAAAAAAAATTAAAGAAAAACAAAAGCAAAGCAAATATCAGTTGTTCTTTATAAAAAGTGGAAACATTGAATGGATGTAATTTTCACTTAGGACTGCTTTGCTAATTCCATTACTTATGTGCAGCCTTACACACCTGTGGAAGTGTACAATTTACTTTGTCAAAACAGTAGGTGGTATCCTCTTGTTGTTTTGTTGGAAACACAACGGAGATGATAATTATGGCAACTGAGAATCACAGTTACTAAGATGCTAAGCATGTGTCAGTGCAATATATATTACATCTTAGGAATCCTTTGTTTTGTAGTATTTGTAATCATATCACTTCCACTCTCTGCTGCTTGTTGATTTGTTGTCATGCTCTGCTTCCCTGTAAAGACAGAGTAAATATTGTGTCTAAATATTTAGACACAGTTTAGGGATGCTTCTTAAACACCGTGCTATGGTGCTTAATGGAAATGAAACATGATCAGAATTTATCAAAACAAAAGCAAATAGAATCTGAAGCAGCTGCACATGGCAACCAATCAGCTTCTTTCTGCAGCTTGTCCAGTTTGCACCATCTGTCAGTCTAGGGCCGCTGTACATGGCAACCAATCTGCTTCTATCCACAGCTCACCCAGTTTGGCCCATCTGTCAATCTGGAGCAGCTGTACATGGCAACCAATCAGCTTCTATCCTCAGCTCATCCAATTTGGACCATCTGTCAATCTGGAGCAGCTGTACATGGCAACCAATTAGCTTCTATCCTCAACTCATCCAATTTGGACCATCTGTCAATCTGGAGCAGCTGTACATGGCAACCAATCAGCTTCTATCTTCAGCTTGTCCAGTTCCTGCCATCTGTGTTTTTCCAATGGATCCATGCTGAACCACATTGTATGTCTATGGACTGGCAGATATAAACGGACGTACATCCGTTTACATCTGCTTACATGAGTCAGTTTATGTCCAAAGAAAAAAATGCAAAAGGTCTGCGCTTTTTTTTCTATTTTTGTGCACATAAATAGATGTTGTCTGTCTTTATTCATTCTCTTTCTGCATTTTTAGGCAAGAAACATATTTTTTGTTTATACTTTTTTGCTGTTACCTATGACTAGTCTCTTCAACAACTAAAAAATTTATGTAAACTGCACTGAAGATGTATGGGCACACTGATTTAAACAGATGTAATCTAAATCAGTATTCATCAGTTTTTTTCTTAGCAAAACAAGTGACTGAAGTGATGAAGCCTGTGTGAGAGGACCCTGAAAGCATATTTCCACTTTTGCAGTCAAATTTGAGAAAACCACACAATAGGCCCAATTCACAAAGCAGTATCTACCACTTTAAGATATGCGGGAAAATGCTTCTATGCATTTTTTTTTAAAATTTCACTAAAACACTATTCTAAGATACTGTCTGTCTTGCTGTAACTATGTGATCATTCATTAAAACTTTTTGACCCATATTGGTGATCCTCGGTGTGCTGGTGACATTCTTCCTTGTTGCTTCCATTGGACACGTGTGGTTTATCAAAAAGTTAAATTAATTACCGTATTTTTTAGTCCATAAGACGTACTTTTATCCCCCCAAAAAATGGGGGAATTTGTTTGTGCATCTTATGGAGCGAATATGGAGTGGCCGGACCGGTATTCCCACCGCCGCCGTGTTAGAATACCAGGCTGGATGCTCGGCTCTACTGTGCAGAAGAAACCGCTCCTCCGTCCTACCTGTTCCTCGGTCCAGTGGTGTCCTGCTTTCACCAGCTGTCTTCTCTCACCAGTGTGCCAGGGTGGGCACCCAGCTGTGACAGCTTGTGGCTTCACAGCCAGTTCCCACTGCGCTTTGTGAATGGCCACCTGTAGTCTTCTGGGACCCGTCACGTGTCCCACAAGACTACGGGAAGGACAACTCCATTGAAGTGGGAGCATTCCCTGTCAAATTCGGATACCCGTCCCCCCCCCTGCTCCCTAAAGGTCTGCAGTCTCTGGTCATCTCCTGTACTGTGTCCGTAGTCTCCGGTCATCTTCTGTAGTATGTCCGCAGTCTCTGGTCATCTGTATTATGTCTGCAGTCTCTGGTCATCTCCTTTAGTATGTCCACAGTCTCTGGTCATCTCCTGTACTATGTCTGCAGTCGCTGGTCATCTCTCCTGTAATATGTCTACAGTCTCTGGTCATCTGTACTATGTCCGCAGTCTCTGGTCATCCCCTGTACTGTGTCCTCAGTCTCTGGTCATCTCCTGTACTATGTCCGCAGTCTTTGGTCATCTCCTGTACTATGTCCGCAGTCTCTGGTCATCTCCTGTAGTATGTCTACAGTCTCTGGTCATCTCCCGTAGTACATCTGCAGTCTCTGGTCATCTCCTGTAGTATGTCTGCAGTCTCTGGTCATCTCCTGTAGTATGTCCGCAGTCTCTGGTCATCTCCTCTATAATTCTGCAGTCTCTGGTCATCTCCTGTAGTATGTCTGCAGTCTCTGGTCGTCTCCTGTACTATGTCTGCAGTCTCTGGTCATTTCCTGTACTATGCCTGCAGTCAATTGGTTTAGAATATTTTTTTTCTTGTTTTCCTCCTCTAAAATCTAGGTGCGTCTTATGGAGCAAAAAATATGGTATTTACAAAATATCTTGATACATGTCATATATTGAATGAAAACACACACATATATAAATATCCTTCTTCCGCCAATAAAAAATACAACATTGTCTTTTTTATTGGTCGAAGAAAGGTTTTTATATATGTGTGCAATTGTTTTATACTATTTTCATTCAAGGTTTGACATTTATAAGGATATTTTGTAATTACTTAAAGCATAACTAAAGGAAAAACTTTTTTTTTTTTAAATTTTGGATAGGGTAGAGATTTATTAGAACACATTACGTTTTCATTGCTCTCTGTGCCACGTTAGGGAGATTCCCCCTCTCCATTTGTCCTGTTTACCATTATTATTTTCCTGGGGACAACCCAGAATTTGTGATTTTCTTTTATTTTCACTTTCAATGATAATGGTAAACAGACAAATAGAGGGGTGAATCTCTCTAATGGGGGGGGGGGGGGGCAGACAGCAATGAAAACCTGACAGGTGTTATAATCCATATCCACTCTGTCCTAAAGTAAAAAAAAAAAAACTTTTGAATTTGGGTATACTTTACATTAAATCCAATGATTCTGTGTTTTTCCCTTTTGAGCATTTTGTGGTAAATACATCAAAACAGCATAGTGAAATGAAAATTTCGGATCGCATGTGATATTTAGGAAAAATATGTCCATACACCAACGTGTTTTGTGACACATCATTCACTTCTTCAGGAGATATGTGAAATCATAAATGCAGAGTTACTAAGAAACTAGGTCATTAGTACAAAAAAACAAAACAAAAACTATATATATATATATATATATATATATATATATATATATATATATATATACTTGAAATGATAATCATCCAGTCATCCTCATATCCAAAAATCTGAGACAATAAAAAGTCATCATTAATAGATCCTTACAACTCACCAATGTAAATGGTAAAGACAGGAATGAAGAGACAAAGCGATGCTGGCTCAGGTTTATGGAACGTGGCAAGAAAGCAACACCCAGCAATATCATCCCATTCCGACTGCACACTTACTGCACACTTTCCTATTCCAATTTTGTCATTTCGCTTTTCTTGTTCAAACATTTTATTAACAATAAACCATAATGTTACAAACGTTACAAACAGGGAGACTTTGTTAGTGTACATTGGACATTGAGGTGGCAGTAGGACATAGAAAAAATGAATGAGGATCACATTACAAATGTCTATATAGTTCTAGCAGAAACAGGTATATAAAAGTCGACTACAGATAACATCATTGTTCCAGCCAATCAGAGTATTGTCTCCCAGGTGCAAAAAATAAATAGGGTGAAGTTTGGAGGGGGGGGTCAGACGGGGGTGGAAGATAGGGGAGGGAAAGAGGAACAGCAACGGTGACTCCATGAGCATTCAGCAAGTTTGCAGCAGACCTCAGGTGCTGCCTACGAAGGGCTACTGACAGCATCCTTGGTGCGCAGTATACAAATCAAGGAAGAAGGAGTGATTCATCGAAGTTAGGTGGGAGGAAGTGCTCTACCCAGGGGCTCCATATGCGTAAAAATTTAGGAATCTTGTCTAGAATTGTGGCTTCCACCTTTGCATGTATCATGGCTTGTGTTATTCTGGTTTTGATGCCGCAACACTTAGGGTGGGGTATTTCCAGGATTTCGCTATAACTTGTTTAGCTGCCGTCGTAACTTGCATAAGTAGCTTGAATTGTGAATTGGAAACTCCAGGGGGGCACCGATTGAGTAGGGCTGTTGTTGGGTCGGGTCGTAGAGTGATAGTGCTAAGTGTAGATATCATGGTGAAAATTTCATCCCAAAAGACTTGGGCCACTGGGCAGTTCCACCACATATGGTAGTGTGTTCCTAGGTCTGCGCAGCCTCTAAAACAGTTGGAAGAGTAATTAGGGGTAAATTTTGCGATTCTCACTGGGACCAAGTACCAGTGGGTTAAAACTTTATAATTTGTTTCCAGTGCTACAATGTTCTGTGATGAAGATTTTGTGTCGGCCCAAATGTGATCCCAATCAGATAGGTCAAGTTTCTTGCCTAAATCCACTTCCCACTTATGGGTATACAGGGGGGGGACGTGTGATCGAAGTTGTGAAGAGTGAATATAAGTAAGAGATAAGCCCACGTCTGTGAGGGTCTTTGTAGTATGCTCGTTTGAAGAGAGAGACATGGCATCTGGCCGATTAGTTGTTGTAGCGTAGGGGGCGTAAAAGTGTTGTAGCTGCAAGTATCTTAATATCTCGGAAGCTGGGAGGCTATGCGTTTCCCGCAGTGAGGCAAAGGATTTAAACTTATTCCTCTGTAGGAAATGATGCATGTGGAGCAAATTAGCAGAGGACCAGGCTTTGAATAAAAGGGGTGTCTGCCAGGCCGGGGGAAAAGCTGGGTTTCGTAGGAACGAAAGTAGGGGATTATGTAGTGATTGAAGGGGATATCGGGTTTTCAGCTTGTCCCACATGGATAAAAAATGAGAAGTGATGGGGTTGGTTATAGAGCGGTGGTCTATTGGCCTCAACCAGAGTAAGTTAGCCGTAGATAAGGGGTCATATTCTATCGACTCTAGTGCCACCCATTGTGGGATTTCAAAGGTTGCATGATATTTAGGTAATTGGGCTAAATGCGCTGCTTGATAGTATTTGCTGATGTCGGGTAAGCCTAGACCACCATTGAGCTTAGAACGGTATAGGGGGGAGCGTGGTATACGAGGACGAGTTTTTCCCCATACATAGGAAAAAATGCGACACTGCAGTGTGCGGATGTAGTGAGGGGGGACTGGGACTGGGAGGACTCTAAATAGATATAGGATTTTTGGGAGGATTGACATTTTGATAACTGCTATTCTGCCTAGCCATGCGAGGGGTAGGGAAGACCATTTGGTCAAAAGGGCCGAAAGATGGTTTAGCATCGGAAGATAGTTAGCTGCGTAAAGGTCTGATAACTTAGGGGTCAGTTTGATTCCCAAAAAAGGGATATGACACTGTGACCAAGGAAATGGTAAAATCTGCTTTAGATGCGTCAACTCTACTGGGGGGAGAGAGATGTTGAGTGCTGTTGATTTATGGGGGTTTATTACTAGTCCAGACAGCGAACCAAACGCCTCGAGTAGGGATGGAGAGGAGGTCAATGGAGATGTAAGAAAGAGCAAGACGTCATCCGTGAAGAGACATAGTTTATGATGCATGCCTCCTATCTCCAGTCCCCTGATATCCGGATTAGCTCTGATTAAGAGGGCAAGAGGCTCTATAGCCAGGGCAAAGAGCAAAGGGGGCAGAGGGCAGCCCTGTCTTGTGCCCCTGGAGATTGGGAACTGAGCTGACCTATGCCCCAGATACCTAATTCTGGCCGAAGGCTCTCGATACAGCGAGAAGACCCAGGTTAAAAAATGTGGGCCGAAACCCCAACGATGCAATATATATCTGAGGTAAGGCCATGAGACTGTATCGAACGCTTTCCGGATATCCAGGGACAGGAAGCAGGCTGGAATATTATGAGACCTGGCTAAATTAGCCAATAGAGATGCACGCCTAATATTATCCCCCGCTTGCCTAGTTGGGATAAAGCCCACTTGGTCGTTATGTATTAGAGAGCCAATACACAGGTTAAGACGGAAGAGAGGATTTTGGCTGACAGTTTGATGTCAATGTTGAGGAGAGAGATTGGCCTATAATTGGACTACTGCGTGTCATCAGAATTCGGCTTTGGGATCATTGATATGTTCGCTTGTACTGTTTCATGATTGAAGGTTTGGCCAGAGAGTAAGGCATTAAAAGCATTAGTGAGGATAGGTGTAAGGAGATGAGCAAATTTTTTATAATAAGTGGCTGAGAAGCCATCTGGTCCTGGGCGTTTACGTAGTTTTAGATTTTTAATGGCATCTAAGGTTTCGGCTGGGGAGATGGGTCGCTTAGGTGCCACTAACTGGCACTCCGAAAGTTTCGGGAAGGAAATGGAAGTTAAAAGGGCCTCTGCTTGTGCGGGGTCAAAAGGTGTGGAAGAGGAGTAAAGCTGTGACAGTTGTTTATGGAAAGTCTGTAGAATGAGTTCTGGGTTGCTAGTGAGGTTGCCAGAAGAGGTGCGTATCCGGATAGGTTTAGTAAGCTGGTCAAGCCTGCGGAGTGAGAGGACCAGGAATGTATTGGGTTTATTTGCCCTAGTGTAATATTTGTGCCTAGATCTGCGGAGTGAGAGTTCCGCTTGATCTGTGAGAATGAGATCTAGAGCCAATCTAGATCGCTCCAGGGCCTCACGGTTGGCAGGCGTGGGAGCCGCCTGGAAAGCTTGATGGGAGCAATCGTAGGCCTGTTCCAGGGAAAGACGTTGTTGCCTTTTGGTTTTATTTAAGAAGGATGCTTTGCTAATGCAAAACCCTCGCAATACCGGTTTATGTGCTTCCCATAACAGGAGAGGAGAAATATCAGGCGATTGGTTAAGAGAAAAATAGTCTTTAAGGGCTGCTTCAATTTCTAGACAGTGAGCTGGGTTTGCAAGCAAGTTATCATTAATAATCCAAGAGGGTTCAGCAGGGGATGGGGCTAGCGAGGTCATGGCCGTGAGTACGGCGCAATGGTCAGACCAGGGGATTGGAATTATTTCTGAAGGCAGGAGCCGGGAGGTAGAGTCGGTGGTAATGAAAATATGATCTATCCTGGAGAATGACTGGTGGAGATGAGAATAAAAGGTGTATTGACGTTTAGCCGGGTTGAGTTCTCGCCATGTATCTATCAAAGAATAACAGTGTAGTATGGCATGGAAGGTTTGTTTAGAGGCAGGGACAGGAGATGGTTGAGGGGATTTGTCGAGAAAGTGATATATTACACTG